ATTGCGTTTGCCCTCCATGAATATATACAAATAAAAAATAAGTGGGAAAAATGTCACCCTCATAATACTCCAGTGTACTTTCTGCATACTTAACATTTCATTTAAAAAAAATACATTTTGATTAAATTAACTTTTCTCTCTTTTTTAAGGTTTGATATTATAATAGATGTCACCATCCCAAGAAGCAGGGACTGTGTGACCATCCTCAATGGGAAGGCTTTCTCAAAGGACTGCAGAGAGTTGAGAAGGTGTGCGTGTGAGAGGAGGGCAGCACTTGTGAAGCCAGAGCGGGTCCTTTAGCTACCCTGAGACATCACATGGAGTTGATCCACTCTCCAGCTGCAACTGCCAACAGGAGTCAAGCCATGCAAGGCCCATGCAGGGGCTACCTGAGACCTGGGGAAATGGACAATCATCAGGGAAGGCAATGTCTCTACTAGTGAAGAAGGGCTCCCCTGTGTCCTGTTCAGGATCACCAGCACTTCTGAGTTTGGGTTACCAGGCACAAGAAGTCCTATTTATATACCACCAGCCGGTTCCAGAAATCTTTCATGCTGTAAGCTATCTTTTTGACTTAGAGGTAACTTTCTAGTTTTCTTTCTTCTCAGTATTTAATAGCAACTCCCTGTTTCTTCATCTTCTTTACACTTGGAGAAATGAGGTACATCTTGAAGTAGGGGAAATAAACAGAAGTAACATCCTTTATCCCAGCAGTCAAAAAGTCTGTGAAAAATTAGCAGTCAGTCCCCTGATTGTGCCACCAAATACAGAGGGAGTTCTTTTGATTTCAGCTCATACTTTTCCCTTCCCAATCTTTTCACTAAAAACTCCATCTGCTGTGTCCTCGGCCTGTTTCCCAACTGGGATATCTCTCTTGTTATAAGAATCTTAGCAAGTTATAAACTTGCCTCCCTGTGTCTATTAAGACTCCAATAATTAATGCCGAGTGCAGTGGCTCACGCCTGTCTTCCTAGTGCTCTGGGAGGCTAAGGTAGGAGGATTGCTTGAGCTCAGAAGTTTGAGACCAGCCTGAGCAAGAGCAAGACCCCAATCTCTACCAAAAATAGAAAATATAGCCTGGCTGGGCATGATGGTGCACCTGTAGTCCCAGATACTTGGAAGGCTGGAAGATCAGTTGGGCCTAGGAGTTTGAACTTGCAGTGAGCTACAATGATGCTCCTGCACTCTATGTGGGGCAAGAAAACAAGATTCTGTCTCAAAAAAAAAAAAAAAAAAGACTACAGTAATTGTCTCCCTTGCATAGAACTTTTTCCCAGGAAAGAAATATTTTAACTCAGTTCCATATCAGAATTACTGTACCCAATTCTCCTTTCAGAGAGATTAAAGACCAAAAAAAAAAAAGTCACTTACTTGATGTGCACCTGTTTTAGTTTGGTTTTAGTTCCTATTCTCATCCATTTGATTCATATTTATACCTGTCAGGTACTGAAGATTTAATAATAATAAATGTTAATACTGTGAAGTGTGTGTGTTTTTAGAATGAATTTGTGATTTGGGGAAAAATTCAGCATAGGAATGCTTTTCAAAATACAACAGCAGTCATTGTTTTGCCTATGCCTTACTAAGTGAATATGGGAACTCTGTAAAGAGTACTCATTATGTGATTATTTTGTAACAACAGTAACACTTCAAAATACACATTGTCTCCAGGAGGATGGTTTTAACACATTTCTAAAGTGAGGTCTTTTAAGGCCAGCTATGTATCAACACGTGATTAATGAGTAACTGAGCTATGCTGGGGCACATGATTTCCACTCAGGTCATGGGAAATGCAAAAGACAAGGTCATGTTCCCTTTTTGACTTTTCCTGCTCTTTCTTCAGAGTTACCTACACAAACAAGTGCTTAGAAGGGAAAAAAAAATCTTCTCATGTAAAAAACCAGTCTATGTGATGTTC